ATGGAATTAATACATACATAAGATGATACCTCAGGCTTCTTAGCTCTTTCTCCTTTTTGAGACAGGCTCTCATGTATATAGCCCAGGTTGCCTTCTAATTGACTACATAGCTATATCACTCAGGCTAGCCTCGAAATCACAGTCATTCTCTTGCCTCAGGACATCCAGGGCTAAGAGTGCCAGGACTAAAGGGATGTGTCACAATGAAAGTACTCCTGCCCCTTCAGCCCTTGGAGTTGAACCTGGGGCTACATGCTCTACCACTAAACTGTATCTCAGCTCTGTTTCAATTTTTTTCTGGAACAGCATTCTCTAAGTTGCCCAAGCTAGCCTTAAATTCACCCCATAGCTCAATCAGGACTTGGATTTGCAATCTTTCCACTTTTAGCCTCCTCCCCAGTTGGGATTACAATCCCATATCACTAACCTTGGCCAGGATACAGTTTTCCAAAGAAAAATTTCAGGGTCTGAGGATGTAGATCAGTGGAAGAGATCTTACTGATTATGTACAAGTGCAGGATTTGATCTTCAGCACCACACACAAATGTTTTAAAGAAATACAGATGAGACCGGCGTTGGTGTTGCATGCCTTTAATCCCAGCACTCGGGAGGCAGAGGTAGGCGGATCTCTGTGAGTTCGAGGCCAGCCTGGTCTCCAGCGCGAGTGCCAGGATAGGCTCCAAAGCTACACCGAAAAAGCCTGTCTCGAACAACCCAAAAAAAAAAAAAAAAAAAAAAAAGAAAGAAAGAAATACAGTTGAAACCAGGTGGTGGTAGCACATGCCTTTCGTTCCAGCCTTAGGGAAGGCAGAGGTAAGTGGATCTCTGAGTTAGAGGTCAGTCTGGTCTACAAAGCAAGTTCCAGAACAGCCAGGGCTACACAGAGAAACACTGTTTTGAAAAGCAAACAAACAAATGAAGTTGAGCATGGTGGTACATGGCAATGAGTTGAGGCAGAAGGATCCAGAGCTGGAGACTAACCTGGGCTACACAATAAAAGATTCACAAAAACAAAAGCCAAAGTAACAAAAAGGAAAGTGCAAGGGTGAAAACACATTGGGCATTGGAGCAGCAAACAGTTAGTGCTCCATAAATGTCAGACACTGAATTGCAACTGTAGCCTGTCTTCCCTCTTCACATAGAGCTGCTGGATCCTTGATAAAAAAGCAAAACTCAGAACTGAAGCCACTCGAGGGCCCTGTCCACCATCTGGAGGCAATGAACTGTATTTGTACCAGCCCTGAGTAGAGAGACTGTCATCAGCATAGGCAGGCCGAATGGTTGTTAGAATCTGATGCTAGCAAAACAAACAAACAAACAAACAAACAAACAAACAAACACCCCCCCCCCCAAAAAAAACATGTTATTCCAGGGGAAACAACTGGGCATTTTGGAATGAGCAGTCAGTTGACTCGGGATAAAACTCAGGCAGGTGCATAGCCTACCAGCTGCCCAATTGTAAGAAACAAATGTTTTGATTCCCCCACCATCTTTCATTCTGTCTTCTTGCTCCCCCAAACCTCAGTCCCAGGGCTGCTGTTAAAGTTAAATCAGGGTGTTATATCTGTTTAACACTCCTCATCCTTGCTCATCAAGTTGTGGCCGAACCAAGTTACCTACGTGCCAGATTTTTGCCTATGTGTGATGGAGCCTTTAATCCTAGCACTTGGGAGGCAGAGACAGGTGGATCTCTGTGAGTTTGAGACCAGCCTGGTCTACAAGAGCTAGTTCCAGGACAGCCTCCAAAGCCACAGAGAAACCCTGTCTCGAAAAACCAAAAAGAAAGAAAGAAAGAAGGAAGGAAGGAAGGAAAGAAAGAAAGAAAGAAAGAAAGAAAAGAAAGAAAGCAGGCTAAGCAAGCCATGACAAGCAAACCAGGAAGCAGCATTCCTCCATGGCCTCTGCACCAGCAGCTCCTGCCTCCAGGTTCCTATCCTGTTTGAGTTTTTGCCTTGGCTTCCTTCAATGGACTGTAACTCAGGACTTGTAAATCTTTAAATAAACCCTTTCCTCCCCGAGTTGCTTTTGTCATGGTATTTCATCACAGCAATAGTAACCCTAACTAAGACACCCATGAAGAGCTAAGTCTGGATCCCCCAAATCCACATAAAAAAAGTCACACACATCTGTAATACCAGTGCTGGGGAGGCAGAATCAGGAGGATCCCTTGGGCTTGCTACCCACCCAATCTAGCTAAGCAGTGAACTCCAGGTTGATTTCAGAGAGAGATCTTATTTTAAAAGCCAAAGAGAGAGGCTGGAGAGCTGGCTTAGTGAACAGTAAAGAGCACCTGTTGCTTTTGTAGAGGTTCAGCTCATATCATCCACATGGGAACTCACAACCATCTGTGACTCCACTCCCAGGAATCCAGCACCATATTCCGACCTCCAAAGGCACTGGGCATGCACATGGCTTACATACATACATGCAATCAAAACATACACACACACATAAAAAAATTAATTCTAAGGAGTTGGAAGAAGACACTCAACAGGACTTCGGTTCTTCACACACACATACATGTGCACACCCCTTCCATATATACATTCAAACATACTCCCTCTTTGCATGCCTCATTTCTATGATGTCTAAGAGGTCTGACTTCTCTCTCTCTCTGAGCACTTGCCAGGGGTCAAATTGCACTCATTTTGTCTGTCTCCTAAAAGACTGAGTGAGCTTCACAAGGGCAAGGAAGGACATCTGTGCCCCATGAGCCCTAATCACTGCAGACAGCAACAATGAATTCCTCAAAACTGCTGCCAGTGCCTCTCAGGCATTCCGATCAAACAGAAACTGGGGTCACAGGATGAGACACTGGAGCTCCTCCCACACCCCACCTTGGACTGGGCATTCTCCTTTCCCAAGACAGGATCACAGAGTGGAACCCTGTCTTTTGGCTAATTCTTTCAATGAAGGAAGCAGGACTATGTCCCTTCCCCTAATATCCTCCACAGTTTAAAAAAAAAAGTCATTTATTCTCATCCTTGTAACTGAGCAAGGACCATGAATGAACACCAGCTGGAAAAAAGTGCCATTGTTTAACTGCTTAAATAACCAGGTTCTAGGATCCGGATGGTGCAGAGGGGGTTGGACTCAAGATAGAGCCAATTGGGCTGCAAACCTTGAAATTCAGCACAATTTACTAGCCCTTCTGTTCACCAGGTGCAAGAGTTTTGGCTCAATTTGCAGATCTGACAAATGAAATGGGAAATGATAAATACACAGGGAAGACCCGAAGTTGTCTCTCCTTGGCTTTGGGTGGAGTTTTTGTCCCAGGAAGGAAGCTGAAGCTCCGTGGGAGAGTCTGTTCTAGCCCCAGGAACTGAGTAAGTAAGTAATCACTGAGTCATCACTCCGAGTTGTGAGAAGGCATTTTACATTAGGACACAGTGACCTTGAGTTCTGGTCTGAACAGCTTGTGATGGAGCCCAAGCCCCAGGGCAGACCTCACCCGTGGGCTGAGTCTTTCAATTGGTTCCTCCGACAAAGCCAAGCGCAGCACCATGATGGCGTAGGAGGAAAAAGCCTCACAACCCATGAAGACTAAACACCAGCAAGATACACCTTGCTTGGGATCCAGACTCAGAGCCAGCGCTTAGTGCATCAAAGCCACCCCTACTCCAGGCTCCAAGGAGAATACAGGGTTCCCGGTTACTGGGCGGAGCTGGGCATGATGCTGGAGCGCCCGCCGGAGTTGAGGAGTCAAGCCTAATGGAGGGGCTTCTCTTTTCACCGGCTTCCAGACCTCTCCAGCAAGGAAAGGCCATTTCCATTGCCTCTGAGGCTGAAGAGTCCTGTTATTTAATACCGTGGCCACCCCGGCAGCATCCTGCCGAGGCCTGCTCCACCCATCCACCTGGCCAGTTCATTACTGCTCCCTTTTCTTTTTGGGGAGTGACGAGGGGGAACATTCGGGAAAACTGCCTTCTACAACAAAAGGCACAGGGCCTCAAGATCACAAAGGGTATCGTCTTCTGAGGACTGGAAGACAAGGACGCGAGTAGTGAAGGGGGCACCTAGCCAGGGCAAGAGAGGGCGGGCGGAAGCTCCGGGCACTGCGGACATTACTCTGGGGCGGGAGAGAGGCGGGGGTGGGG